TCCCAACCCAGGGATCGAACTCAGGTCTCTCACATTGCAGGTGGATTCTTTACCGTTTGAGCCACCAAGGAAGCCCACCATCTCACCTAACCCCCACATAAACCCTAAACTTGTAGGCAGGGTGGTATTATTCACTCCCATTTCACAGATGGGGAAAGAGATCTGTCCACATAATGGGGGCTCCCTTCTAGAATACAGGCTGCCGGGGGGCAGGACCTGTGTCCAATCCCCAGGGTTAAAACACTAGTAGGTGGTCAGTAAATATTTGTTGCATGAATGAAGAATTAACAATCATCACCCCCTACTCTGATAACTACGTATGTCTCCCTTGTTCCTCCCTTCTAAGAGCTGGTGAATTCGTGAGAAAAATGGGGAGAGACAGGATAAAGAAGAAATTCGGGTTTGCCAATGTCCACTATGAGTCAGGCAGTACTTTTTACTCTAAGTCACAGAGTCCAGCGCCTTGTTCCAGCATCCTCCGTGCAGAGATGAGAAAGCAGAGGCTTCCTCCAGAAAGCCAGATCAGGATGACCTGCCAAGATCCCCTCTCTTGGCTCCAGCCAGACCACTGGGGCACCTGCCAGCAACTCAGCAGCCTTTCACCTCTGCCTCTCAGCAGGCTGCCAGCAGAAAGAACACCCAGGAAACACACTGATCCTTCCTCGGCCTCTCCAAGGCCGGCGACAAAGGACCCCTTTCAGATGCCCCAGACCCCCGCTTCCTCTAACTTGAGGCAGAGCCTTCAGCTAGCCCCAGCAGCCCTGCCCCCTCTCCCTACACACCTATCAGCAAAGCGTGACTCAGCGCTTCTCCTCCCGGAGCGGGGAGCGCCACTCTCCAGCCTATACTCCGCCCAGGCCACACATCCAGCCTCAGCATCCCTGGGTCGGGACGCCTGGGAGCCCATCCCGCGCTGGCAGGCGCTCTCCAGGCCTCCGCAGGGCTCCGGCGATGGGCTCCTCGGCCTCATTTCCGGCGGAGCCTGGCATCGGCACTGGCTGGACAGCGCCCGGAGTCGAGTCACCACCGCTCGGAGCCCACACGGGTTCCTGACCCGGGCTCCCACGCGCCCCAACCCCGCGGCACGCAAAGCCCTGGGCCCCTCCCACGGGAGCACCCACCAGGGGACCTCTTGCTAAAACCCACCAACACCTCTGCAGCCAGTCCAGCAGCCCCTAGGGAAGACGCAGTCGAGCCCCTTAATCCGGGAAGGTCTCCGGGCACAAGGCGTCCCCACCAATGCGTGCCGACACCCCGCGCGGCCGGCCCTTCCCCATCCGCAATGGAGGCTCCAATCCGCCGGTGCCTGGCTAAGGCCTGGGAGCTTCCCCACCGTTCCCTGGGCAGGGTGGAGCCGGGGGACCCTTGAAGTTACTACTGGCTTATAAGAAGGGGTCGCTAACCCTCTAGATCCCACCAGCCTCGGAGTGGGGACTTAGGCCCATTTAGGGGATTTCCGATGCAGGGCCCGTTTGGGGTAGCAGGTCCCACTTTGTGGTTGAGACAGTGTAGGGTCAGCTGTTCCTGTTTATTCACCAGGAAGAAAAGATCCACCCCAAACCAGCCGCCTACTCTCACCGGCTAAGGGACCTTGCTTCTGGGCACAGGGAGGGGCCGAAAACCTCGAGCCTCTGGGGCAATCTGGCCACGGAATTTTTTTTTTTTTT